TGAATACATGTCAAAAGTTTCATATGCCAGTGTTGTGGGTAGCTTGATGTATGCTATGATATATACAAGGTCAGATTTGTCACAGACAGTGAGCATGGTATCTAGGTACATGCACAACCCCGGGAAGGGTCATTGGAAGACCGTGAAGTGGATTCTACGGTATATCAAAGGTACCATGAATGTTGGTTTGGTATTTGAGAAGAATGGGAGAAATAGACAGGATTGTGTTGGATATGTGGATTCAGATTATGTTGGAAATCTTAACAAGCGTCGGTCTACTATTGGATATGTGTTTACACTAGCAGGAGCACCGGTATATTGGAGATGTACACTTCAGTCTACAGTGGCTCTCTCCACTACGGAGACAGAGTATATGGCGTTAATTGAAGCTGTGAAGGAAGCTTTGTGGTTGCAGGAGTTATTGGATGACTTGGGGATTGCACATGATACCATCAGGATAAATTGTGATAGCATGTTAGTTATCTATTTGGCAAAGAACCAGGTATATCATGCACGAACAAAGCACATTGATGTTAGATTCTATTTTATTGAAAATGTCTTGGATGATGGAGACATTAAACTAGAGAAGATCCACACAAAGGACAATCCGACAAATATGTTGAGCAAAGTTATCACTGGAGTAAAATTTGGTCATTGCTTGGAGTTGTTAAACATTCTTCGTTGTTGAGGATCTTTGGAGGCCATTTGGGTGAACTACGTGAGGCTTGAATCCTTAGGCAAGAGGATACGTAGACAGTCAGTTTGATGTAGGCAGTTTGATGAGTTGATACCGACACGATGGAAATTGTTAGAGTTCTCATTTGAATTCCCAACTTGTTGTGGATTAAGTACGTTGTTGTTGATTGAGTCCACTTCGTACTAGACGTAACAAGTTGGATGTTTGATATTGGGGTCGGCTCAGTTTTATTGGAAAACTTTACCGAGGTGGAGATTGTTGGGGTCAAATAAACGCACAGCCACTAAAAGAAGATTGTGGCTGTCAACAAAATCAAGCCAACAAAATGAAGAAGTCAAAAAATGAGAGGACTTTCGGTGGCTTGTTGACAAAGAGAGGGGTGACCGAAGTTTAGGGGAGCCGCCATTGTTGACAAGAGGGGGGCATGAAAGCTATAAAACCCCCCTCTCCTCTCACTTAAATCATCATCAGAATCAATTAGCTTCTAAGAGTTTGAGTGAGATTATTGAGAGTGATTGAGAGAGCTTTAAAGAGATTATTGAGAGAAGAAAAAATAATCAAGAGTGATTTGTTGTTTGTGAGATTATTGAGTGATTATAATCTCTATTTGTATTTTCTCTCCCTCTATTAGTGAAATTTATCCCCTTTTTACCCCGTGGACGTAGGCACATTGCCGAACTACGTAAATTTGGTGTCTTGCTTATGTGGTGCTTGTTTGGGTGTTGATTTGTGCTCCTATCTCGAATTTGATTTCGATTCTGCTGCGCACAACATCTCCATATATATGTGTGTAAGTTTACAGAAACAAAACATAAGCATGTATATCCAAGGAACATAGTACGGTGTAAACAACTACATGAATAAACCTAGAATGATATTATGGATGATCTGCTCCGTTGAACTTGATCTACATATTCTAAAACCCCAACACACCAAGTTTGGGATAAACATGTCGTTGTTTGACTCTTCATCCACTCGTATCAATTTTAACGGTTTTGAATGAATAGAACTTTTCACATGGCTCGACGGAGGATCAAACGACGATGGGTTTCACCCCAAACTTAGTGTGTTGGGGTTTTAGAATATGTAGATCAAGTTCAACGGAGCGGATCATCCATAATGTAGCTTAATCATGTGATTTTAGACCGCGTCCTTAGATGATTATCTAAGACATCACCTTAGGAACATTTTTCCCATATATTATATATATATATATATATATATATATATAGTATGAAAAATAAAAATAGAAAGAAATTACTTTCTCATAAGCACAAATTGAGAGAAAATAAATTAAGATGGTTTGGTCAAATACAACAAAGACCTCTTAGTGCACTGGTTAGAAAAAGTGATAATATTATAGTTAATGGGGCTAAGAGATCCAGAGGTAGACCCAAAAAGACTTGGTTGGAAACAGGTAGGAAAGATATGATTATGACTAACTTAATGTAGGAGATAACTCATGACAGAATTGAATGGATAAAGGCTTTGTTATTGTTATTGTTGTTGTAATATATATATAGAGAGAGTGTGTGTGTGTGTGTGTGTGTGAGTAAAACTCCTACCCACTTAAGTGGATAGGAAGCCTTGTCCACCAAACTTTTTATCCACTCATCTTGTCTCAAGATTTGTACCATCAAAAGATGTACAAATCTTAAAAGATTCTTCATATCTATCACGGATCCCAATGTAATATCAACGGTTAAAAAAATTGGTGGATGACTTATTCCTATTCACTTAAGTTGACATAAGCTTTTACCTATATATATATATATATATATATATTTTTATATATATATATATATATATATATATATATATATATATATGTGTGTGTGTGTGTGTGTGAGAGCTACAGTGCAACAAAGAAAGACATCACAAAACACCACCAAATTAGGACACATACAATAAAATGTGAAATCAGAAAAATAAACGCGAGAAATCTACTGGAAGACACTAAACAAACAAGAGTGAGCATTCATTCGAAAATGAAATTGTTTATCTAAGAAAATTGTACTGATATTTTGTTGATAGTTTCCGATGTTGACAAATCAATGAAAGGTATTCTTCCAAAGTTCCCTTTAATAACACATATATTTAGTGGATGCATTTGTAAATTCTAATGAGGATGAAAAGGGAACCATGTTCTCCTCAAGATGCTTGAATAGTCTATTAATAACCATAGTACCACATTAGATGGTTAAAAAAATTCTGGGATTGTAAGTTTCCAAAAACGCTAATTGGACAAGCGCACAATATGTAGTTAGATAAAACTGGTGGATCGAAGAAGACACAAAGCATCTTATAAGGCAAAGAAATATAAATTGAAATTTTCAAGTTTCATTATATAAATGTGATACATACATGTATACATACATATACATGTACATACATATACATGTGTATATGTATATATACATATATATATACATATATATATATATATATATATGTGTGTGTGTGTGTGTGTGTGTGTGTGTGTGTGTGTGTGTACGTGTGCGTGCGTGAGTGTGTATATAGCATATGTGAGGGTCTACGTTATTTGGGCACTTCTAATCTAAAGTCGTACGGATACTCGTACCTGTTGTGCTCTGATACCACTTGTTGGGGTTCGAGGAAATCCACGCAAACGCCGAGAGAAGGTCACACAAGATCAAAAATAACGGCACAAACACAAACAAACCAATTTTACGTGGTTCTGCAAGTAACCTACGTCCACAGGGCAAGAAGGTGATGAGTTTTCACTATTAGAGAGAGAGAGAGTACAAATATAGGTTACAAAATCACTCAAAACCTCACAAAAATCTCTCAAACAAAGCTCTGAAATCTCTCACCAAATCTCCCAAACATACAGCTCAGAATTCTCTCAAATTCCCCTTACTTATTTTCTCTTCTAAAACGTTCCATATATATATAAATCCTAAAACCAAAAACATACTAGGAATTCTAAAACCAAAAACAAAACATATTAGGAATCCTAATAACATGTTACCAAAACAGATTAGGAATTATGTTACCAAAACAGATTAGGAATCCCAATAGCCTGTTACCAAAACAGATTAGGAATCCTAATAACCTGCTATCAAAATAAATTAGAAAACATATTAGAAACCTGCTATCCAACAGTACATGTACCCAAGCTCCTTGAGCACTCATTGCATATATGCATATATTTATTTAGATATTTACTCAATTATACAGCATGTTTTAAATTAAAATGCTTATCATACATTTTCTGGACATATATCCTATACTTCATATCCGCTTTTTGAAACTCGTAAGGTATAGTTTAGGTTCCAAATTATAATTACGAGGAATCGTTTGGATGTCTAGTTTAAAAACTAGTGATTTTCCAAATTAATAACCCACATAGTAAAGAAACATAAAAGTATCATAGGAATTTTAGTTCTCATCCTTGTTATCATATAAATTATTAATTTTAATATATTGTATATGTGTATATAAATATTTATATAGTTGTGTCTCTGTACCCTACTTTTTACAAATTTATTCTCTCTTGTAACTGTATCCGTACCCTACTTTTTACAAATTTATTATCTCTTGTAATTGTATCCGTACCCATGCAACATAGGTGAGGGTACATTGTAATCACCAAAAGGAGTGCGGGAAAAATCAATGAATTAGCACTAAATGGAACTTGAAGCACGAAAAGTGTGATGACATTGTTTATTAGCTTAAGATAGCAGTAATTTTAATTTTTAGGATGATACTTATCCTTGAATTTGCTCTCCAGCTTCAGCTCTTCTTGTCTTTGATGTTGTTGATCTTTGAAGATTTTTTTTTTTTAGCGATGATTTTACTGAGAGATCTATTGTCTATTCCCTTTCATCTCTCCTTTTTCTCTCCCATACAAACTGCCAACAACTCCCATCATCCTCCTTTTTATTGTCCTCAAAAATGAAAATGGTTGAAATGGTGAATACACCCTCCCTTGTCCTCAAAAGTGAACAGCGGAAGCTAAAATTTGGCTTTCCAAAATATGCTCAGCCCAAAACCATATCATTTATGATAGAAATTGTATTTTTTTTTTTTTTAAAGATATCAGGTTAGGGTAGAAACGGAAAAGCAAAAAAGATCACCTCCAGATTTTAGACAGTATGTTATTATGGATTAGATTTGAGTCATTTTTGTTAAGCTTGTTGGCTTGCGATTTGCTTTTCTACCTTTGTTGATTAAATCATTGTCTATTGTATATCGGTTTCCATTGTTGGATCAGGAATTTAATTCCTACTTCTTGCGTGGATAATTTTTGCCAGATTCTGATATAAATAAAAATTTTCAGCTTGGTTTCGCTTTTATGATATCCACACTTATGAGCAAGTCATCTTCAGCAACTACTGTTGGGTTTGCGATTTTCATTGTTGGCTTCTTGGCGCAGGCAAGTTTATCAAACTAAATTGGTTAAATCTTTGGGTTAATTTCAGAAAATCCCCCTCAACTGTAAGGATGTCTCAGAAACCCTCAACTATTTTCATCTGAGAAACCCCCTGTAAGTTTGGGGGTGTTGTTGATGACCTCCCTCAGCTTTAAAGCTTTAATTTAACCTCTATGAACTTCTCTCACTTACCCCCCTAGAAGATTAGCATCATTAAGTCTAACATGTCATGTCACTAGTAGGTGACTTGGAAAAAAACCAAAAATGCTCCTAAATTATTAAAAAAAAAATTACCCTGAACTTTCAAAGGATGAGAGAAAGAGGTGTGTGTGTGTGTGTGTGAGAGAGAGAGAGAGAGAGAGAGAAAGAGAGAGAGAGAGAGAGAGAGGAAAAAAGCATTGTAAATTGGCAGTGGTCTTTTTACGATTGGGAGTTTCATTTTAACTGAAACGCATTGATTTCCAAAAGGATATTTCAGTCATTTAAAACAACATTTTGAAGGAACAACGACAAGGGGTTCGTTGAGAAAACTGAGAAAGATCAGGGAGGTTTTGTGAGACACCCCATAATTGAGGGGGGGTTTTGAGATACCCTTCATAGTTGAGAGGGGTCTTCTAAAAGTGACCCTAAATCTTTGATAGGAAATATGCAACTCCCTTTGCTGGTATGAGGAGAATCAAATGAAGATAACCACTGTCAGTGTTATTTACTGTTTGCAGATTGCTGGAGTTGTTATCTACACGGATGTCATTGAGAAGAAATATCAGATTTTGTGGTCTTTATTCCCTCCCAACCCTCTGGCGGCTGCTCTTAGGATGCTTGCTGCGGAAACAGCCACTCCTGAGGACCATGGAATTAGCTGGAGTAAGCGCGGAGAATGTGGTCCAAAGTCACCTGACTGTGTGATGACAATTGTATGCACAACTGTTTTTTTTTTTTTAATCCTTCGGAAGGTTGCATCATTTAAATTCTTTGACATTTAGATCTGAACCTGATACATGATCACAGGAAGATGTATTACTATGGCTCATTGCCACATTTGTCCTTTGGTTTGTTGTGGCACTATATTTGGACAACATCATTCCAAACTCTAATGGGGTGAGGAAACCAGTCTATTATTTTCTACAGCCCTCATACTGGACAGGGAAAGGTGGTGAAAAGGTTAAAGGTCAGTCATCGTCTGCCTAGTTTTGGAACTTTCGAAGCAAGAATCTGTGCTAACACTTCATATCTAATGTCTTTCTTCAGAGGGCTGTCTATTCAGTTGGGAGTCATCAGCTCCTTCATTGCAGGAGGTCACACCAGATGATGAAGATGTTCTTGCTGAAGAAACAACCGTGAGGAGACAAGCAAGTGAAAATGAAACTGACCCAAATGTCGCAGTTCAAATATGTGGCCTTGCTAAGACATATCCCGGCACTATATCATGCAGATGCAGATGCTGTAAATGCTGCTGTAGCAAATCCCCTCCTTTTCATGCAGTCAAGGTATGATAAGCTTGCTGATTTCGTCCTTAACATGAAGTTGAGGTATGATAAGTTTCTTCTCTCTGTGTATTATCAACCTTTCTTTTTTTCAGGGCATATGGGTAAATCTTGCGAAGAATCAACTATTTTGCCTTCTTGGACCAAATGGAGCTGGGAAAACTACTGCAATTAGTTGCCTAACTGGTATTACGCCGGTTACAGGAGGAGATGGTAATAATTTATTAACATTTTAGAAATATAGATCCACCACCATTATTCAATGCTGCCATCTATTGCTACTAACATTGTATCTTCTTGCAGCATTGATATATGGGCATTCTGTTCGAAATCCTATTGGTATGACAAACATTAGAAGGATCATAGGAGTTTGTCCTCAGGTGTCACTTTTTGTCATTCAGAATATTAAACTGAAATGCTTCATTGCAACCTTTTTAAAATTAGAAGACCAATGAGATTCGTTGTCTTTTTTTTTCATCTGTTGCAGTTTGATATTCTGTGGGATGCATTATCGTCTAGCGAACACTTGCATTTGTTTTCTAGCCTCAAAGGATTACCTCCTTCTACAATTAATTCTGTACGTGATTAAACTGATGAATCCTATCTTGATTTGTTTTCATTCTGAGGCCTATTGGAGACTGTTGGATATGCAGGCAGTTGAGAAATCCCTGGCTGAGGTAAAGCTTACGCGTGCAGCCAAAGTCAGAGCTGGAAGCTATAGTGGAGGAATGAAACGGCGACTAAGTGTTGCAATAGCCCTTCTAGGGGATCCAAAATTAGTTTTTTTGGATGAGCCAGTACGTAAAGTCCCTCTCATACAACACTTCTATATATTCTTTTGCGTTTCTTTTATATGTATCCCTTGATCATACATATTTGCAAAATTACCCCGTAAATCTCGCAAAACTACACCCTAATCATCAACTTTGTTTAAAAAAAAAGTCCCCAAATCAACAAATCATCAACTTTATTGGATATGACTATTTTATTGAATATTTGGACTAGTTCGTTGATACTTTTTTACTGTTTTTTTGATGTTTTAACGTTGCATCTAAAAATTAGCCTGTCAAAGTTGATGTTTTGTTGATTTGGAGGGGTATTTTTCTCTAAAACTGATGATTTGA